TAGTTAGGTATTTTTCACTGAAGAAAAATGATGTACAGAAGTCTTCTAAAGTTGTCACTTTAATTATTTTGAAACATGAATTATTATTTTTTAAATACTCTGGCACTTTTGAAAACCAAAGGCAATTAACTGACTTAGTTAGATTTTTTTGAGAAGTCAATATTAGATAATTTATCAAAAGAAACAAAAAAAAACATATTCTGTATTATTTTTTTCTTTTCTCTTTTTTGGAAGGGGTGTACCAGGGATCAAATTTAGGACCTAGAACCTTGATCTCACAAGGCAGACATGGCACACTGAGCTAAATCCCTAGCCCTATTTCTTTTGCTTTGAGACAGGGTCTATGTAGTTCAGGCCAGCCTTGAACTCCAGACTGGGCTCAAACTCATGGCAGTCCTCTTGCCTCAGCCTCCCAGGGGCTGAGATTGACAGATGTGCGCTACCATGCTTAGCCTCCTGTATTACTTCTTTCTGAAGGCTGAACAGCCAACATTCAAGTAAGCTGCTATACAGGAGTGAACTATGGTATTTAGACATTAGTGTTGAGTTTTTCCTCTTGGCAGCCATGATTTTTAAACTTTGCTGTGGCTAAGAGAAATCTATAGACTTTTCTCCCAGAAAGGCTCTGACGTGCAGTGCATTTCCTAAGTGGTGTCAAGGGGATCATGCTATTGCATTTTAATTCTTCCCTTGGATGTGAGAGAGGGGATTGAAATAGTAAAGGTCTCCCACAGAATCCAAGAAACCACTGATTTCATGAGATTTAGGGACCACAAGGACATTTGAATCATAAGACCCAAACGTTTTAGTTGGGTAACTTAGAAAAGAAGTTAACTGTTCTGATGTTGAGTTCTTTCTCTTCAGTTCAAATACCTGCAGGGAATGGTATGCAAGCAGTGCTTGCTTGGCTTGAGAAGCCTTTTGTTTGGCCGAGATCCAGCATTTCCAAATGCTGTTCTCCTGTGCAGTCTTATCCAGTGTCACTGAATATGGTCAGTCCTCAGAACACCCAAAGAACAGAGCAGCGATGACCTTTCTGTTAGCTATCCTGTTGCTAAGTAACTTGCTCTTGCAATTGTAGAAATTTTAAATTTTAAATACTGACACCCTTGCCTTCCTATCAGAGCCCCTTGGAATGATTTGGCCTTTGGTAAAATTTCCCATCAGTTAAATTCTACATTTTGTCCTGAACTTATTGTAGTAAAATAGATTTGTTTTCAAAACTTTACACAGCCATTTAACTTTACTGACAGCATACCTCTCTTAGAACCTAGACCAGGCTCCTGATGTTCTAGAGACTGCTAATATCTGTATAAATATTTAACACATATCCAGGACTTTCCTAGTACCTGTTTCTGGTCTCTCTCCTACTCCAATCCATCGTTCCAAACTAATCTTTTCAAATTCACTGTCATGGTTTTCATTCTCATCGTGTCCTTCCCTGCTTACCACATGCAAAGTCACACCAGTGTCCTTAGGAGAAATCAATCCAGACAATTTTTAGTAATTTTCTGCTTCACCGATTTTGTATTACATACAAGGAGTAGGTCCCCAGGGATGCTGGAATTTGCCTAAGACTAAGTGACTTGCTCTAGATTTCTGGTAGAACTGTCCCTAGGAACGTTGCTGCCTCCCATTAATGAACTTCTCAGTCCAGCATTCGAGAAGCCCCTCTCTAAAGTGGCTTTCCTGACTTATTTCTCACATCTTGTCCATTTGGTCTCCCTAATACACCATGAGATTTCAGTTCTTTGGCTTTGCCTGTGACCTGCTTCATTTAGAATGTTCCTCTTCTCTGTAATATTTAATATTCATAGAAACTCACACATTCACATGCTATGCCCAAGCACTTAACATTTCACAGGAATTATTTAATCTTTATAAATCATTAGCTAGATTCCATTACGATTCTTCTTTTACACATGTGGAATTGCAGATGAAGTGATTTGCCTGAGATTCTAAATTTACAGGTAGCAAGGCCAGGATCCATCCAAATGAAGCAGTTTTGTCTCCCAAAGCTGTGCTGTTGGCCCCAGCATCACACTTGGTGCTTCTAAGGAACATCTGTTATAGGCCAAATGGTTACTCTATAAAACTTTCCACAGTGATCAATATGCATCAGAGAAGCCGAATTTATAATAAGGCTATGTATGCTTTCTGAATGCTCTTTAACATAGTGTAAGTGCTTAGAAAGTAGTATAATAATTCATGGAGTGATTTATCCTAAGTTCTCTTCCAAATGGAATGGCAGTAAGGAAAGATTGCTCTGTAGTTAAGTAGACCGAGCACCAACACATAGAGCCAGGGTTTGTGTGGTACCATTGCATTGTACTCCTGCTGCCTGTGTCTTTGGAAATACATTCAGCTTCCCCAAACTTCCTGTCCTCATTTATAAATAGGCTTAATAAGATAGGTCTCATGAGGTTGTGACAGGGACAGTATATAAAAACTTACTGTAGGTTGCCAAGCATTTTTAAAAAATAGTATTATCTTTCAATCCTACTACAAAATAAGTATCAGTAAATGGGCTTAAGGTAGAAAGACACACACCCCCACAGTGATCGTTGCAGTCAAAGAACTTGTAAACTGCTTTTGTTTATTTGAACTGATTTTTATATATAAAGTCTTCATAAAATGGAATTAACCAGCATAGCTCTGACATTCTTCTCTGTTCTTTAGATCTGAGATCCTAAGTTTTATAAATAGTAATTCAACGGATTCTACATCTGTATTTTTAAAAGTAATGCAAATTATGCTTAAGAAGGGGCGAAATTGTTAAGCAGCTTGAGTTCAGAAAAACTGATGCAACTTGTGGCATTTTCCTGTGTGCAGTGGCTTTGATTTCCAGGGCTGGTTCACAATGAAACAGCTGCTGAGTGTCCTATTCCAGCTTTTACTCCTGTGATGTTGCCTGATTGTGTATTTGCCACTAGGGCTTGTGAAAAACGACTGGGATCATTTTGCTTTTCAAAGATGGTGACGAATATTAAGAAGACGAAAGAAATTGGAGAAACAGGGTGGGAAGTTTGACTGAGAGGAAGAAGTCAAGTGTAAAGAGCAAGTCAGATGAAAAAGCCACCTTCTGTAGCCACCCAGATGTGTTTCCAGTAGGCAGGGAGGATTCATCTGTTTTATTGGGGACTGCATGAAGAAGGATAACGGTATGGACTCACAGGTGGAAAATACTCCGGACAAGTGTCTGGAGGAGCTGGAAATGGGTAGCAGACGAGGCAGTGGAGGCTCTGCTGTCATGGTACCTAGACTGCTAGCCAGATTTAACACCTGCTGGCCATGTGACCTTAGTCACATTAGTTGACCTCTTCGAAGCTCAAATTTTTCACCTGTGAAGCAGAGATACTGTATCAGAGGGCTCTAAGGATGGGTTGTGATATGCAACTTATGCCCTTAAAGAACACAGTGCCTGGTCCATCGTAAATATCCAACAACTGTCAGACACTTGCTATTTTTGCTTTATCCTGTCAACTGAAGAAAGAGCAGCTAGACCAACTGTGTTGGCTTAAGGTTCGGGTGAGTGAGAGGTTCCCTCCACTGGAAGAAGAATGGTAGGGGAAACAGTTACTACTTTGGCTCCCTTCTGAATACTCAGCCTTTGCCTGGACTCTTTGCTCAGCAGGTTTTTCTCATATTCTAGGTAGTATTGGAAAAACCAAGGAGCAGTACACTGCGCTATGAAAGGCTTGTAGGAGATGATCTAGTTTTGGAAACATGTATGTGATCTAAACTTTCTGTAGGGAAAATGAAGTTTTTAGAGACAGGCAAGAAGGAAGGGGTTATATGTCTCTGTCTTAGTCACTGTTCTTGTTAACACCCACAACTTGAAGGAGGCAAGGTTTATTTCGGCACACGTTTCAGTCCATGGTTGGCTGGCTCCAAAGAAGAAACAGAATGGCAGTGGGGCCTGGCGGAGGAGAGCTGCTCACCTCACGTCATCCAGAAAGCAGAGAGAGGAAAAAGGAGGAGTTAGGGAGGGAAATAAACCTTCCAGGTCCTAGCCCTAGTTGACCTGTCTCTTCTTGCCAGGTTCCACCCCAAAAGCAAATAGGCTATAAGGCCCTCATAATCCAATCAACTTTCAAAAGCCCCACATCTAGATATAAACCATGGCAGCCTTCAAAATCATGTTCCTATGTATGTCTCAATGAAGAATAAGGGTTGGATATCTGCAATGTATTTGGCACATTCACTTAACTATGAAATCATCATTTCACATAGGCAACTGAATCTCCATTTTACAAATGAGGAAAACCAAGTTACAAAGAGTTTAATTGGTTCCAAAGTCCCTAGTTTCAAATCTATTGCTTATTCTCTTATGCCAGAATGACTGATGTAAATAAAGTTAGACATTTTTTTAAAGGCCTTTAAAGAAAGTAGGCAAACATTAGAGGCATCTTAAGGGTTCACCCCAAGGTAAGTGGATTAAGTTATATCACAAAACTCAACTTTTCTAAGTTATTCAAGTTATAAAACATTTGCACTGTTTAAATAACATTATTCTTTTGAATTTTCAGTGACATTTTTCTTTAGGATCTGTGTAGAATAATAGTTCTCTAACTTAAACTTGCATCAGATCACTGGAGGACTTGTTAAGTAAGATTCAGTGGGTCTGGCATAGCCAGAGAATAGCACTTCTCGAAGGTTCTCTGTTGATGCCGACACTTTATTTTGAGGTCATTGACAGGAAAAGCATATTTTCTTACTAATTATATGGAAGGACAAGTTGGAAAATAATCCTAGAGGGGAATTCCAAGACTGGAGATGGAAGTTGAAGTTTATATCAAGTTTCTCATACTCAGTAGATTATATACTTAGCCACACATGACTGAATTTGGAACCCATAAGTTGCATATTATTACTTACTTTGTTTGGAAGCTGCATTTGCCTACAAGGGAAATGAAGAGATGCAGGGGGTACAATATGACTAATCGATGCTAATTGATAAGTATGAAGCTTTTCAAAGAATTTTTTTTTCATCTCTGTAGGTAGCAAATCTTCCAAAAGATTATCTGATAACCCTGAACTATGTCACCGGGATGGATGTTTTGGTATGTAAACTGTACATTTTGTTTTAGTACCTGTCAGAAGAGATGGGATCATTTGTAGTGAGATAGGAAATTATCTGCTGTTGAGGACTTTGCTGATTCAAAGAAAGTGTCTTGGAATTTGAACTGCAATGTTTTTTCTCAGACATCTGTTAAACTTTATCAGTGAGCATTTCAGGACTTGGGTCTCAGACAGTACTGCTAAAGCTGTAAAATTCTCTTCTGTTCTTTCTGAGTATCCCTCAAAAAGGTTTGATTATAAAATTATGTAAATTTTTATGTCTTTTTCGTTTTTATTTAGTTTGAGAACACAAAATATTGTATTAAAGAACTTATTAGTAGCTCAATAGATTCTTGGAAACTTGAAATAAAAATATGTGGTCACAATTATAATATATTACTGAAACCAAGAATTGTAATTATTTTCTTATTGCATATGGTAGTATTAGTCCATACATGAAGAAACATTTCAAGCATAAAGAATAATGGAATAGGTGTATTCTCATCAGAGATCTTCATCAAACCTTGCTTTATTTTGTAATATTTGCTTCAAATATATCCCCTAAGAATTAAACATTGTAACTAAAGCCTCTTTGGTATGTCCCCCCAGCTCCCGTTTCCATTGTGCCTCACTTTGTCTTTCAGGGGTAACAATTTTGTGAGCTAAAATTGTTCATTTCAGCACACATTTTCAGGTGTTGAGCTGAAGGCAGCATCCTCTGGAGATGTGCAAGAAAGAAAAGATGCATACTAACTCTGCATACTTTTAATTTATTCATTCAGACATAAGATACCAAGTATTTTGACTATTTTAAAATTTAATGATAATGCTGTTCTACCGTAAATATCACTTTGTAACTTATTTGTATTTTTCAGCCATGCCTTTAACATGCTGTTTCATGTAGATTCATTACAACTTTTGTGATCCTGGAGTAAATTTAAAATCCACCTGGGCCCCTCTCTTCTCTGCAACTGTCATAATTCCATAAATTTTCAAAATCTTAATACATATTGACTTGGTGCAAGCTGTTCCAAATAATGTTTGTGGGTCAGCCAATCAAGGTTAAAATCTTTGTAAGCACATCACTGTATGCTTCAAAAGTTTTAAAGACTTCATGGCTTTCATTTCAAGAGGCTACCCATGTATGGGCTTTGTTTCTTTTTAATTAATAAGCATTTTAGCAAGAGCTGCTTCAAGTTCTTGAGAAATCCTTTGAACCAATGCATCTTCATGTTGAACCAGTTTTCCTCAGGCTAGAGGTCAAACTCTTGGGGTAGGGCCAGTTCCCTGGAAATAGAAATGTAAAGTTATAGCAGCCTGAAAGTTAATTAATCCAGTCACTTGATCACTCAGCTCAGTAAGTTTTTGGTTAGGAAAAACTATGAGCCAGTACTCTGCTAGACAATGTAAGAAGCATACAAATCAATTAGGCAATGCCCTTGTATGTTTAAAAACTTCAGTAATAATAACGAGGGGGAAATCACTTGGCATTTTCGGAACACTTCCTCATTTGTAAGATGGTTTCACATTTTCCCCTTGTATGGTTAGGAAAATCTTGTAAAGTAGGTAGAATAGCTATTATTATTTCTGTCTTACAAATGACACCTTGGGGTTCATTACAGAAAAATATTTTGCCCAAAGTTATACAACTAAAAAGTGACAGTCTTAAAAAAGAACCCCCGCAGGCCATCTGACTCTTTACCCTGAGTTGTAGAAAATGCAGACCTAAATAATTACAGTGCCAAGGAAGTGCTGGGAGGGAAGCTTCTAGGTACTAAAGACCTAGTTCTATTCTGACTACAGCTGCCTTTAGAATGGCGGTTGCCAAAGGTACTCAAAGAAATCCTGCTGCTCTTTGCAAAACAAGTGTTAAGCTATAAATAACCAAATAGTGTTTTTTTTTTTTTTTTTTTTTTTTAATGCTGGTATCATCATAGATGTTGCTAGAACATTGACTTCAGTATTGGCTGGTGATAGCAAAAGCCAGACTTGTAAAAATCAAGCCAATTTTTTTGGCCACCTATTTTGTGCATGTTTCTATAATTGCGAAAAGTCGCTATTATTTGATTTTGGCATGCTGCCCTTGAATTACTGGAGAAATACTGTTCTTGGCCACCGTAGTTGGCAAGCAAAACAAGCTCATGCATAGGGCTTTGGGCAGAAACTGGGGTCTCACCCTTTGTTTTACCATCATTTGAAAATGTTAATCTCTGCCAAAGCCAGAAGAGTTTCCCAGTGGAGAGGGCTGTGATTATTTGTCCCTGGTCCAGTCTCAGCTGCCTTATCTTTTGTCTTTTAGCAATGGAGGGTGGAGTGAAAGTGGGTGCCAGAGAGATTTCCTGGGGCCAAAGCAATAAAATTTTGCCTGAGGTACCTGACAGAAGAAAGCTCTAGAATAGAACACAGTTATTTTTTTATCTTTTGTTTTAAAAATCAGTTACATACTCCCGAAAAAGGGAGCCTGCTTTCCTAAGAGCCTTCTCAGAAAATGACCCAGCAGGTTCTCTCTCACAAATAGCAGGTTGGGATCAACCAGTCAGTATTTAAATCCAGGGATAATCACCAATTCTATTTTTAAATCTTCAAAGCTATAATATTGCCACCTGGCTAGGATTTTCTTAACTTTGTAACTTGAAAAATACCTAGACATTGCTTGTCCTTTTCACTTACAGTGATGTTATGGCAGAAAAAAACAAAAATTAAGTTGCCGAATTTGTGCCATGCTTCTGCGTTCATTCCAGTGTTTGTAATATAAACTATGAGTTTCTCTCTTCGTGATCACACGCCCTGCATCCTGGCATCACACACTGTAGATTCACCCACCTCTGAGAAAGACACCTATGACCACATGAGGCTTTGGGGGACATCTAGAACGAAACCATAACACGGAGGCTGGTCTAGTTTATGTGAATTTTTATAAAAGGCAGCCAGCTGTGTCCGAGAGGGGAATTGGAAAGTATTACTCTCTTGGCTTTGAAAGATGGAGGAAAGCGTGATGAACCAAGGAAAACAAGTGGCCAAGAGAAACTAGAAAAGGCAAAGCAAAGAATTCCTCTTACAGCATCCAAAAGAAACATAGTTTAATAAAATGTATTTTGTTTTTCTAACCAGAAGAGCCATATAATACAAATCTGAGTTGTAAAAGCCACCAAGTTCATGGTCATTTGTCATGGAAGCACGAGAAAACTAACAGGTCAGGTCTCTAGCTTCGTTTGAGAGTTCCTCAGTCTTTACTGGCTTTACGGAACTGAATTTTTTGAATGTAGTAGGCCTCCCCTCGGCAAAACATTTCTTTTTTCAGGCATTTGATTAATGTTCCTTAATTAGTATAGAGTGCTTACGCATTCCCAGCCCAGATGATTCGTGTGGGATGATGCGTGTTCAGATGACCCTGCAGGTGCACAGAGTCCCCCATCCCCACACAAAACTTCTTGCAGTCACCTTGTGAAGGTGTTCAGCTATTTCTATGTAGTTAGTCATTAGCAATTTAGGGGGAGATTCTTTGAGATCATGTAGACATCTAAATATTGTGCACCTCGTCAAAGTTTATCCCATAGATTTAGCATCTACTGATGGCGCCTTCTTGAGCCCATCTCTACTGCTGTATCTGTTAGTTTTTTTTTTTGTTTTTTTTTTGTACTGGGCATGGAACTCAGGTCCTTGTGCTTGCAAGGCAGGCAGTGGAACCACTGAGCTAAATCCCCAGTCCGCGGTCAGTTTTTAATTACAGTTTTTTTTTGTCTTGTCTTGTTTTGGCTTAATCTGTCTCCCTCCCTCTTTCCCTCTCTCCTCCTCCCTCCTTCCCTCCCTCCTCCATCCCCCCCCCCCCCCGTCACTTTCTCTGTCTTAAGAATCAAACCTGCTGCCTGGCTAATGCTAAGCACGTGTTCTAGTCCTAAACAATGACCCTCCCAGCCCGAAGGTGTTTTTAAAGTCATGACTGAAGGAAGAGGTGCCAGACCACGTACACTATTCCTCTGTCTCTGGGCCTCCCTGCTGTCTTTGCTCTGTAGCATCCTTCTCAGTTAGGTCTACAGAATTGCATTTCTGGGTTAGGCTGTCCCCGCCTTCTTCCTCCTGGCTGTGCCGCCTCTGGGCTCTCTTGCTTCCCTTCCATTCCAAGATTTATGTTTTGACATTTTCACTCTTCCTGAGTTGACGGAATGACTTTAAAAAGTACATTTGTGTAGTTTGACCCTTTTCCTCGTGTACATCAAATGACTTCCCATTGCTCTCTGAGAACAGGCAAAGGTGCTCCTTCAGCAAAGCCTCCAGGCCTCTTGATCTGACACCTTTCCGAGCCCCCTTTCAGACCTTCATCCTCCTGCGTTCCCTGCTGCTTCCATTCCTTCTTTCCTTCCTCCTTCCGGGTTCTCTGTACCTGGAATTCTAGTTGGCCCCGAAGCTCTTCAGGTGTCGGTTTCCTTGTTTAAGGAAGCTTTCCCTCACCTCCTTGATGACACCAGATCTTCCTGTTGGAGACTCTTCAGAGTAGTAGTTTCCTAGTTGCTCATGGGATAATTTAATTTACAATCTGCCACTACCTTGTAAACTTCAAAGAGGAAGAAACTGAATTCTTTTGGCTCTGCCTTAATCTGCAGTGCCTAATAGCTTTTAAGGACTTTACACACTTGATCTTAGCCAAAAGGCCAAGAAATGATAGAAGGGTTTCATAAATATTTGCTGAAAAAGAAAGCAAAGAAAGGGAAGTAGGAAAAGTTCTTGATGTGTAATCACTTATAATTTCCCCGAGACACACATATAAACTGAATAGAGTCCCCAGGGTGAGGACGAGCGACTGTCTGTGACATCACATAGTCTCAAACCCAACATTATCACTCTCTTCTGTGAGCAGTTTGTGAAAGATCCTAAGTGGAAGAATTGTATTAGGCAGTGGTTTTCTTGAGCCTTCTTATCTGGTTCTTGATTTAGTCATTTCTAAATTCCAGAACCATCTCATTGTTCCCACTCACTGAAGGCTACAAGCCAAATTCCTGAGTCT